ATGTGTGTTACTGTTACATGAGAAACTATCTGTTCTGTAAGCCTTCACCTGAAGTACAATAAAATATTAAAAAAAAAAAACATAACGCAAGCCTTCCTAATCTACCTCATCTCAACTTTCCCCAACTGGAGACAAAAGACCTGAGGAAATAAAAAAATTCTCACGTCCTTGCAAACCCAAACCTACAAAAGAAACGTATAGATCTTCTGCTTTTCTCTGACTCCTCTTCAAGGACACCCGGTGATTCTCCAGAATTTAGGAAAACACTTTCCAAGCAAGGAAAGTTATCTTTTAAGAGTCAATACTTCTCAGACATGTCTCTAAAGGATGAGTTCACATTTGTGAGAACATCTCTTCTTCTTAGCTCTGATGGCCCTTAATCCATAGATGATAGAATCAGAAGATTTATACTCAACCCAGCTTAAATCTCCAATTGTGCTTAGTTTGGGTGCTATACCTGGATGTAGGGCGCTTTCTCCCAGTAGGGGCATCCACATGCACTCGGAAAAAAAAGCATGGCAAAATGGCACTGATGACTGGAAAAGCTTTGTATCCATTGGCATTTTCAAAATCCTGAGGCCATGTTCTATACACGAATGAATGAATGTATAAAATTATTATTTTAAAAACAGCCTACAAGGAAGGATTATCAGAAAATTGGCTAATGACTCAGAGGGAAAGGAGCCATAAGCCCATCACATGGTCATGTCGGAGCCCTCCCCAGCCCCCACCCTGCCCCTGAGGGAGGGGGTTCTGAAAGGGGAGAGCACCTAGACCTGGCCAGCCAGTAGAGTGGCCTAATTTAGAAGAAAGAAAATGAGGTTGCACATGGGGCGGCTCCTTGCACACCCTCGAGCCACAAGAGAGACTCACTTCCCTGTGTTTCCTCCCTTCCTCTGTCGGCTTCCCCCTTCTGCCTGCTCCTCCAAGACCTTTAATGCACCAGGTCCTCCCAGCACCTTCACTCTTAGGATGAGGGTGGGCTCTGCATTTTAGCCCCCTGAACCTCTGCTGAGCAAACACACTGGTTTTTGTCCCAGGGACACCAAAGTGTTAAGGTAAGCCCTGTGCTCCAGGTACGCCTTAGCTGACACTCTGCCCAGCTTGGCATCATTATCATCCTTTGGTTTTACAACAGGTCTACCCCTCTTTGGAGACTAGGAGCGTACTTGATAAATGTTGGCTTGTTGTTATGTTAGTGCTTTGAGAGCACGACATCCTAGCATAAACCCGACGGCAGGAATCCAGGAAACAATTTGTTTTTTGGGTAAGGATCCAATTTTAACATCAAAAAATGCCACCCCTCTCCACATGTTAGTATCTGTTGACTGAGAAAATCGATAAACATAAAAGGCTATTCTGAATACAATAATTCTTTTAAGTTAGTCTGTATTTCATTTAATCGTAGCAACATCTATGTGTAAGACATACATGTGCAGGAAATATTAATTATCTGTTGCTATTGTTATGTGCCATCGAGTTGATTCCGACTCATGGAGACCCTATAGGACAGAGTAGAACTGTTCCGTAGGGTTTCCAAGGCTGTAATCTTCACAGGAGCAGATGGCCGGGTCTTTTCTCCAGTGGAGCAGCTGCTGAGTTTGAACCACCAACCGTTCGGTTAGCAGTTGAGCACTTTAAAAATTGCACCACCAGGGCTTCTTGTTAGTTATCTAGGCTACAGAAAAACAGGTGGAACCAGTATGGCTCTGCATGCCCCTTCTGTTTCCTGGGTGGCACAAGTGGTTTGTGATTGGCTGCTAACCTAATGGCTGGTGGTTCAAACCCACCCAGGGGCACCACAGAAGAAAGGCCTGCTGATCTACTTTTGTGAAGATTACAGCCAAGAAAATCCTATGGAGCAGTTCTACTCTATAACAAACACATGAGTCAGAATTGACTCGACAGCAACGGGTTTGGGGTTTCATGAGTGTGTTAGATTAATTAAGGGTCAGCCAACTACGGCCCAGGAGCTGAGCGGTTTTTACAAATAAACATGTGCAAACTGTTGGATAATAGGGCATACTAAATTTGAACCCAAATTAAGCAAAATATTATCTTCCCCTCATATCTTCTTCTCAATAGTAGAGCCTTATTACAAGAAAAAAGAAAGAAAAAAAACCTCAATTATTATTATATTTTGGATTTTGCCAATAAGAATTTGGTGGAAATTTGTTTTATTACTTATTTAAGTTCCCATCTAATATCCTCAGTTTTGCCTTCTGAGGATATTTTATAGGTACTTGTACCACAAACCCTAAAATATTTACTATCTGGCCCTTTACAGAAAAAGTTTGCAACCCCAATGTTTGATACAAACCCCTCAGGGATCCACACCCCACAGGTTAGGGGCGGCTGCCCCACAATCTCACTATCCCCTGGGACAGTCCCACCAATAAGCTGGGAGACCTGATGGGCTGTGAGAGGCTTTCTCCTGGGTAGGTAGGGGATCTACTTATTTATCTACCTACCTACCTTCTACCAGTTGTGATTGAGTCGACTGTGACTCATGGAGACGCCATGTGTGCCAGAAACCACAGGGTTTTCGATGGCTGGATTTTTGGAAGCAGATCACCAAGTTTTTCTTCTGAGGCACCTCTGGGTGAACGCAAACCTCCAACCTTTTGCTTAACAGCCAAGCACTTAACCATTTACACCACCCAGGGATTCCTCTTTGCTCTCTGAACCGATTAATTGGTTGTTAGTATTTTAAGTGATTTGCCTTGCTCCTCTTTGAATTTTTTTTTTTTTTAAACTAACTGCCTTTCAGGAGGAAGAAAACAAAGTCCAGTTGCTCTCCTGTGATTTTAAGCTTTTTTCTAGCTACCCATTGCAGCCCAGGAAATAGTCCTGGAATCGTAGGCACTTCTCTGGGTCAGTTTTAACACAGAGATGTGTAAATTCACTGAGGCTGCCAGGGAGAAGGGCCTGACGGCAAAGGAGCAGCAGACTGTCAGAGGCTCTTGAGGCTAAGCTCTCCTGGCCTCAGAGATTGGCTTTGTTTTCAGGTCCACCCAGAAGGAGAGCAATGTGGTGATGTCTGCCAAGGTGTCCTTGAGCCTCTCGAGCAGGCAAAGCTGTTCACTGACCTTCTGTGCACACGCGGGATGACTGCCCTCCCTTCCCTTGGAACCTCCTCCCATGTCCACGCCAACCACCTTGTCCTGCCTCAGCCCACAGTCTCTGTAATTGATTTCTCTTCGTTTCTGGCTTACCCCAGATCCACCTCCACAGACCTCCAATAACCAGGTCCCTACGGGTCACGGGAGATGTTCAGGTGATCTGACAGCTTAATTAGATCACTTTTTGATGACAGCCAGGCCTCCTGGTGTAGGTGAGCATGGGTAAAAGGCTTAAGGCCTTAGCAAAAAGTGACACCAATATTCGTTCTCTGTCTTATAAACCCTTCTCAATGATTGTATGTCTTCTGTCCTTCAGGACGGGGAGAGATCATAGTCCGTTCCCCTGTGGCATCTTTTCTGCACGCAGATGACATGTGCCAAGACCTTATGGGATCCAGGCTGCTGTGCCAAAGTGTGCCTTTTATTAAAAAATTAAATATCATTTATTTCCTTGAATAGGTAATATATGCACATAATACCAACCTCAAAAGTCACAAAAGGTTATACAGCGCTAAATCAGTCTCCCTCCCACCCTGTCCCCCAGCCTGCGGGGTGGCATTTTATTTATGCCACTAACCTGTGCTGTCTGAACTTGCCCCAGTACTTCCAAGCATGAAAGCCCTGTGTTGTCTGCATGTAACATTATTGGTTTTTTAATGAGCCTTTTATTTCAGATGGCTGAACAAGAATGGGATTCAGGAAATCCACAACTGGGCATTCAATGGAACCCAACTAGATGAACTGTAAGCAGCCCTAACTGTTCTTCCAAGTCATTTAGAGGGAAAGGGCTCCTTGAACAGAAATGTTTATGTGGCTTTGTGTTTCCCTTCTCCTTTCCTCGACTTTATCCCCAGGAATCTAAGTGACAACAGTAATTTGGAAGAATTGCCTAATGATGTTTTCCGGGGATCGTCTGGACCCATCATTCTGTGAGTAGCTTCCCTTGTCTCCTTGTGCAAGGGCTCCGTGTGTGTGTGTGTGTGTGTGTGTGTCTGTGTGTCTGTGTGTCTGTGTGTGTGTAAGTTAGATGTTAACTCTCTTCAGCTCAGTGAAGCTTCCAAAACAGGGCTGGCAATCATATGCAAAGACTTATAGAGACAATGTAGGGGCGACCCACATTCTAACTTTTAATCAAGGGACAACAACATCAATCATAATAACTCACATTTAATGAGCACTTAGCACGTGCCAGACAGTGTTCTAAGAGTTTAAAGCGTATTCTCTAGTTTAATCTTCGCAATAATCCTCTGTGGTCTACAGTAGGGGTCAGTATTTCCATTTTACAGAAGAAAAAACTGGCTTGCCTGAAGTTGTTCATTGCCCAAGGTTGTGCAGGTTTCAGAGCAGGGATTTAAACCCAAACTAGGCTGACTCATGGTACAGACACTTAGCCACTCTGTCATATTACTCTTCCTTGGAAGGGAAAGCACAATTCTCCTTCCTCATCCTCAAAATCTAGGAATTTCAAACCAAATCCTCAGAGAAGAAACTAGTCCACAGGGCTGATAAGTCCATCCAAGCCACAGCCTCATCTACCCTGAGACCAGAAGAACTAGATGGTGCCCGGCTACCACTACTGTCCGTTCTGATCAAGGTCACAATAGACAGACCCTGATAGGACAGGAGAAAAATGTGGAACAAAACTCAGTTTCTTAAAAACTCCAGACTTACTGGGCCGGTTGAGACTAGAGGAATCCCTAAGACTATCACCCTGAGACATTCTTTAAACCTTGAACCGAAATTACCCGCTGAGGTCATCTTTTAGCAAAAAAAAAAAAACAGATTGGCACACAAAATAAAGGATATTGCTAGTGAGTATAGTGCACCATTAAAAAACCATCTATATGAGACCAGAAGGTCCACATACACTCTAGTGCACAGATGAGAAGCTAAGGGGGCACCTCAACCCACTGACTACTCCAGAGAACGTTGAAGCTGGACAGGACCTTCAACTTGCTCATTAGTTATCTGAAGAAACCAGGGCCAAAGAAGGGAAGTGGCCTGCTGAAGATCACACCAGTAGTAAATGGCAGAGCTTGGACCAGAGCTAGGTCTCCTGCCTCACAGTTCCATGTGTTTGCACCATACCATGTTGCCTGAAGTATGTAAATATGTTAAATCAAACCTAGAAAAATTATTTAATAAGGTCTCCTGCAATCGGATGTGAACTGAGATCAAGGGGAAAAGAACTGTAAACACCAGCCACCCAGCCTAAGGACATAAACTAAGGATCTGTAAACACAGCCCAGGAGCATGCCTCCTGAGGTTCCAGAAGCAAAGCAGCTCTCAGGCCGAAGCAGAGCTCAGTGGTTCTCAAAAGAACGTGGAAGGGAGAACACAACACATTAAGCCCCCAGGCAGCCCCACTGTGAATCCAGGCAAGAAGAGGAATGTCACCATCAGAAGCAGTTCTGCAGCTGGATGATCTGTCCCCAAGGATCCGAGAGTCACAGGCATATTGTTTCATCGTTTATACCACAGGAACGTATCTGGCCAGAATTGAGTGAATGCAATTTACAGAAAATCCAAAGGCAGCATGAAGCACTTCCCGTGACTGAGAAGGGGAGAGAGTGAGGATACATTCCCACAGCTTTCCATCTCAGTGCACGAGGATATAAGTGCAGGATCCTGGCCAAAAGCCCAGCCTATAATTGCTAGTCCCCTCCTCCTTCCCTCAAGGGCAAGAGGCCAGACTGCCTTAACATCAATCCTCCCTTTCTGCAGCTTTCAGGTTAGTCCAGAGATGTTCTCCCAGCCTCTCGGCTTACTGACCTGGGACTCTATGGCCTATCCCACTTCCAACTTGCAAGCTGATGCTCCAGTCCCAGCTCAACCCTTGCGGGAGCACTGCTTATTTAACTGTGCAGAGGACGAGCCCACCGCAGGTGCTCTAGGTTAATGGGTCAGACTAGGAGTGTGTGCAAACTGCTCAGCCCAAAGTGGATATTACTCTAGCTTGAGCTGTGACTGTGGGTCAGATTCCCCAAAAAGGAAGACTGTGCTATGGGTATTTGCATGTAGAAGTTTGCTGAGAAGCGCTGGCTGGAAGAAGTTGAACTACGATGATTTGCAACAGAAGCCTCAGCTGATCCCATGGGAAGCTCTAGAATCAAGATGGCCCTTTGATGTTGCACTGGATTATGGCAAGGGCCCTGGCTTTTCTGCCTCTGCAGTGACAATCACTGGATGCAGGCTTTCCCTGGGGAGGGGACAAATCCTGGGTGAGGTGGCTCTCTTAAGCAAGGGCAATCCCCTCAGGAGAACTCATCTGGTTCCCAACTGGAGCATGCAACAAAATCACCCAGTGGGCTTGTAAAAGCTCAGATTGCTGGTCCCCACCCCCTCGCCCCCACCCAGAGTCTCTGCTTCAGTAAGTCTGGGTGGGGCCTGAGTTTGCATCTCTAATAAATTCCCCAGCGAAGCTGATGCTGCTGGTCCAGAGAGCACTCTTTGAGAGTCACTGCTCTAGAAGCAATGTTGGGAAATGGGGAGCCCCCTCGCCTTCAAAATGTCTCCTCCACAAGCTCATTGTGGTGATCGTTCCTCCCCCACAGGCTCAGAATTTTCTCCTCAACAGATATGTGCGAGGGGTGCTAAGGGAGTAAAGAAGTCACCCAAACCAACAATAGCTCCTTTCCTGAAGGCAACGTTTCTGGTTGAGTGAAGAATGGGGGGCAGGGGTAGGGGGGGGCTGCACACCTGAGGGTGCAAGGTAAGATGTTCCATCGCAAAGAGAAATGGATGTAGAGAAAGCCAAGGGCACGCAGACAAGCTCCACCGAGTTTCAGAGGAATGGCCCAGCCTCCTGATTGCCCCCTCCTGAGTCTTGACCTTGAACATCAGCAGTCATCTGCGTGTTTTCACCTGATAGTCTGAACTCACTCAAGCTTTTTTTTTCTTTTTAAGCATTCGAGCAATTGCTGTTTCCTTGAGAAACAGTTTCCTTGAGAAACAGTTTCCTGTGGGGAAAATTTAATGCATTGCCTTTGCAGGCTGGAGCCAGTACAATCATATTCTGATGGTTTATCAAATTGATTTGGCGATAGCTCTGATTCATTTGATAGTTCAGATTCAAACACTGAGTTATTTGTATAGGAATGATTCTTTTCCATTACCACTGTACCCACAGTCCTATAGATACTAAATTGCCTTTTTATCCTGCCTGGGATCATGAAAGGGAGGTTTTCTAGCCATCTGTCAGCGTAGTATACACCAGAAATGTGCTCTCACTTATGGAAATGATTGACCTGTAATAACATCTTTGCTGGGAAAAATAGAAATTGTTCAAATCAAATTTGTGGCACTGGCTATAGCACACTTTATTAAACGAGGCAAGGAGCGATAGTTAACTCCTGCCTCTCCTGACTCAGTGTCCTATTACCAGTCTACTTTGTATCTCAAAACCAAGAATCTTAACAATGTTGAAGCAATTTAGGATTGCTAACTCTCTTCAGCTCCAGCCATCGGCCCATGGGGTCTCCTGCTGGTACTTTTCAGGAGGTAAATTCTTAAAACCAGTCACTACTACAATAAAGGATGTGTTGCAATGTTAACCAAAGGGAAGACCGCAGTCATGAGACCAGCCTGGAAGACAAGGATTGAAAGCATCAGCCCACGGCTACCCCTTCCCCTTTGTCCCGCCTCCCAGGAACAATGGCAGTAATTAACTAAACATTCTCAGCTAATCAGTGAGGACGCTGGGTCTCACGGGTCACACATTTTGTAACTGTTCACCGCGTACCTACTGTTTGTCCGGTGCTATGCTACGTGTGAGTGGAGCCCTGGTGGTGCAGTGGTTAACAGCTCAGGCTGCTAACCAAAGGGTCAGCAGTTCAAATCCATCAGCCGCTTCTTGGAGACCCTATGGGGCAGGTCTGCTCTGTCCTATGGGGTCTCTATGAGTTAGAATCAACCCAATGGTATCAGGTTTGGTTTGTTTGGTTTTTATGCTGTGTGAAGGATAGAGACATTAAAAATATAAAAATAAATAGAAATAAAAAGAGAACCTGCCGCTCTGATGGAGGGACTGATGTCCCTGCCCGGTATAACAAGTGCTGCAGTAAAAATATTCACAGGAGGCTACAGTAACACAGAGCAGTTGCCCAATAAATCCTTGTCATTGTGTGATACAGGGACTTTTAACAGGGGAAGTGACAGTGTGTGAGCGACAGGGGAGTTCTTACCATCTTCTGCCTGAATTACTGCAATAGCCACTTCATCGCCTTATGACCTTCAGTCCTTTCGCCTTCCACTTTACCTAACAGATATTTACTGAGTACCTGGTTGGTTAATAGCTCGACTGCTAACCAAAAAGTCAGCAGTTTGAATCTACCAGTCGCTCTGGAAACCCTGTAGGGCATTTCTACTCTGTCCTACAGGATCACTATGAGTTGGAATTGACTCGATGGCAATGGATTTGTTTTTTTTGGTTTACTATGTGCCAGGCACCCTTCTAAAAGTTAATATTACAAACATACAGCTTTCAATAAGTCATTCTTCTGCACACATAAATTCTAAACTCTCCTGCGTGACTTCCAAGGCTCAGAGATCTGATCCCCTCTCATGGTTCCTTTTATTCCTTAAAACACGGTTACCCAGAATAATCTGTCTGAATACCCTCACTGTTCCATTTTTGTGTTCTAGGCCTCTCTCCAAGCCCACTTTTAGCCAATAGTCTCAATGACCTGCTTCCATGACGTTGTGAATAACTGATAATGTCTTAGTTTGTTACTCCCTCCAGGGATATTTGCATTCTAACAGTGGAGAGTGTTTTTATAAAGGAATTAAAATATAACTATGATGGTTAAGATTGTGTGTCAACTTGGCTGGGCCATGATTCTCAGTGGTTTGGCAGTCGTATAATGTTGTGATCACCCCCATGATAGGATCTGCTATGAGCAGCCAATCAGTTGAAAGGGAATTTCCTTGA